GCTCGAGTTTCACATTTTTCCTAAAGTAACTAAGATTTGGGAATTTATAAAAGTTTAGTTACTTCAAATATTTTCATTATACTTATTAATGAAAATTAATTTCATATCCTACCCGTTCAGCTAACGACCCTTCACCAGTCAAGGAAACGGTGGGTGAGAGTGAACACCTATTAAACCACCACTTTATAGGCAGTAACCTTATACCCCCCTTATAGCCCGACTTCGTGAACGAGACCTACTAAAGGTAAGACCGACTTGTCTTATACACACACAAATATATATATATATATATATATATATACATATATATATATATATATACATATATATATAAGTATTAAACATTAATATTATATAATATAGTGTTGAATTTTAAAATTTTAATATTCTAGGGTTTGGAATTAAATTTTCATAAATGTAACTTTTTAAGTTCCAAAACTTGAGGGCATGTTTTGTAACTTATCAAAACTTTTGAATTCAATAACTTATGGAATTATTGTTTCATTGATGAGACCTTTTCAATTCCATAACTTGAGGACAAGTTGTGGAACTATTCAAGAAACACTTCTAGATCAAATTAACTAATCTAATGATCATATGATGATTATTTACCAATTTGACCTAATTTGATTCATATTACATGATAACTTCAAATTTTACAGATAACTAGTTTTTCACAAAATCTTGTAATTATCTTAAAATTTGATAACATCATGTTATTGGACGTGCATTAACATTAACAACTCATTAAAATTAATTTTTTATGAACCGAAACAGTTTATGGTAATGTTCCTAATCCAAAACAGGCGAAAAACTCGACGATTCTGCCATCAGATGCGCCAACTCGTTGAGTGCACTTATGAACTCGACGAGTTCATCACCATAAGGCACCTACTCGTAGATTTCATACATGGACTCGTCGAGTAGGCCTTGGCAGAATCTAGAATTGCTGGTTTTTCAGCTATGAAAATTACACAATTGCATCAATAAAATAGAAAACACCCATGACTCTGATACCACTGTTGGGTTTTATGTACTCTAACATTCGTATGGTGCTCATACAACCCTAATTCTTTGGATCTATCTTTTCTCTAATTATGCATGCAACATTGGTTTCCAAAGCATGAAGCCTAAACTAGCATACTTTGTGTGACAACCCGTAAATTATTCTATTAACATTTTGAATTACGTCATTTAAATTAAGACTTTTATTTTGACCTCGGGAGTGTCCAAATCCATTTGAAACAACTGAAAATGCCCCAAATTTTTATTTGGAAAATTGTTAGTTTCGGCCACGTCGGGTTACGACAACTAAATCGGGTACGACCAAAAGCCTCGTTTAACGTCAGTATCGGGTGGATATCCACCGAGCCTCAAACTCTAACCATATATAAAGGTGAAAGAACTTCATTTGAAGCTTTTTCACTCTCTCTCACTACTCTCTCTCTCTCTATATACAAACTCAATCTTTGATCCAAAATCACCCTTTCAAGCTCCAATTTGGTATGTAATCCATCCTAGCTCATAGTATAGCTTGTTTATCATTCAAATTCATGTTTAAATCATGAAATAGGACCAAGAACTTGTGTTTACGTCCCAAGGATAGCCCCAAGATGCAAACACACATAAATGGGGTTTTGGAGCCCCAAAACCCTTCCAAACCACTTTTGGAGCTTAGATATGACTTAGGGGCTTACAAGATTGGACTTAGAACACAAAAACCTTAAAATTTGGGGAGTAAACATGATTTTACAGCCCAATAACATGCTTGTACTGTAAACACCCCTTCTAAGGCTGTAAACACATTTTAAGGTGTTAAGATGTCCCTTAAACACCTCATATGCCTTGGAATAATGTCTAGAATCAACCGCCATTGTGTTAGGGACCTTAAACATAAAAGAAACCATCCCCTTAGGAGATTACGGCCGTAAAACCCCCAAGGAATATTTCATGGGCCGTAAACTTCTATAAAGTGGTCAAATGGTGCCCTAACCTCCTTCCATGGCTTGTACTTCGGACTAGAAACAGTGGTGCTTAACCTAGGACCACCAAAACACATTAAGAAAGGGTATATGAGAGTTTAAGGCCTTAAACTCCTAGTTGACGGTTGTAAACTCCTTAAAGTGTTCCCTTTGATGGTTAAACCCCTTCTAATGTCGTAGAACTAAACCTAGCATCATCCCTCAAGTGTTGTAAGATCAATAAGCAACCAAGAACACCCCACCCATGAGTTTATGGTCGTAAACTCATGGGGATATGGTCATTAGGTCGTAATCTCCATTAGCAGTTTACTCTTGAAGAGAAAACTCCATATCTAGGCCTTATACACCCTTAGATGCAACCCGAATCACTCCTAACACTTGTATTTCTTCATATTATGTAGGAACCTCACGTGTAGTCAAGTTCCGAACTGACACTTAGCATCCTAGCCGACACATTTCTCGACCAGTGAGGTCATACCCCTACACCTTTTTCCGTGTTTTCAATGTTTTCAGGGGGGAATACAAGAAAAAGTACAAGAATATCTTGTGCTCAAACTTATTATTTCATTTGAAATGTTTCATATTTCGTATGTTTTTAACAATCAAAACCGTATTAACCAACCATTTGACTTGCAGAGTTAGTTTTTCCAAACTGATTGCAAATCATATTATATCATATATTGTATATTTCACAAATGATTTTCCATTTTCATTGCTGTTAAAATCATTAAGATTAGAACTTTAGACGTCCTCTGTAACACTCCATAGAGATACGCGAGTGGAGGACCATCTTTATAATTAGAATTTAAAACAGGATTTTCCACATTATTACTTGTAAATTTGTTAATCTTAATAATTGGAGACACGTCCTCAGAAACACTCCACAGAGATACGCAAGTGGAGGACCGCCCCTGTAACTAGAATCTCCTAGACGAAGAGCGTGACTTGAGTGTATAGATCTACGGGTGACAAAAGTCATAAAATGATACTAGACTTCTTATTGCCATATCTAGTCTATCGTATGGTTATGGAACTCGCAATTTAGATAACAGAGATTTACTTGTTGGTAATAATGAACTTAGTAAATTAATACCCTTAGAAATTAGTTTACTATTTTGATAGTTTTATATACGTGTTAAAACTAACATACCTTTCCAGGATAACCAGACTTTCAGGAAACTTCACACAAACACTACAAGTAACCAGTGAATTTGGTCTTACCTTTTTTAATACTAAATTTCAGGGATGACTAATGTTACTTTTTTAATACTTGGACTAAAGATGTGAATTTGGTCTTACCTTTAGGATGGAAAGTCTAATTTACTCTTGTTTTAATATGCATTTGAGCATAACAATCGAATAAAATATATTTTGTTTATTATTGGTAATATGTGATTTACCATGTCTTCCACAATATTGAAATGGTATTTTGATTTTCAATTTAATTATAGTTTATCAACCTCATCAATTGATTAAGTCATATCAAGAAAATTAAGTACAACATTAAATATGTGTATATTTTGAATCGTAAAAGTTGCGGTTATTAATTATTCAAAATATTAAAGGGCTTATCCCCAAGAGATGTCAAGATTTGACGGAGAAGTGTCCCTCAGCCAAAGGTTGAGGATTAAAGTCTCGTTGGAGACAAAATATATAGATTTAAGAGGCTAGCAAAGTGTTAGAAAACATAGTAAGATTACACATGATATATCACAAACTATACAAATTGATCAGCATCTTCTACTCACTAAGATCTTAACTTGCAGTTAAAAGCACCTATACAATGAAGAATTAAAAGAAATTAAACATTTCTAAGCAGTAAAACCCATTTTCTTTAAGGTTTTTTATGTTATAGTTTAAAAATATTTCATGAAATAAAGTCACATTTTGTAAAAATATGGTCCAACAAAAACTGTTTGTCCAATTATAGATAACATTATGTGTTGCCAAATTCATATCAACTTAGACCACAACAAGCAAATAATAAATGATAAAAAGATCATGACAAGGAGTTTAAAACAAACTCCACCCCAACTATCTTCCAAGTACTTATAGCATGTCAATAGGCATCTTCTAATTTCTAGAGTATAAACCTAAGATATAGCACAAAAGAAAATAAGAAAGACAAAAATATATTGTGGGCTACATGGTTTAGACATAAACATACATTCAAAAAGCTTCTACAAAACTCTTTATCTTACTTTCAAAGGGTTATATGAAACTCTTTACTTTACTTTACTCTCAAAAAGCTTTTACCAGTTCTTTAGTTTACTTTCAAAATCATGCAAGTGATATGTATGCAATGCATGATCTCATTCTAGTGAAAGCTCGGGTATTAAAACCTCAAGATCATCTTGTTCTCGACATCTTAGACTATTATCCTTTGTTATCAAAGATCACTTATATATAGACATCATTCATAGTTCCAAGATTGTAATGTGAAGAACAAATCAACTCATTACAACATCATTAAAGATCTAGAGGATTAATTACCTCTCAGGCATCACTTAGATATCTACTTTACGATGAGAGGTGACATTCCAACAATGTCTCCAAAATGCTATTACAATGGTCTGGATAAGAAAATATTGCTAAGTTACTTTTACTTGCTATTACCACTATGTGTATGCATGAACACCACTTTTGTTTTATGCAAGTAAATCACACACAAATAGCATACTTGAAAACATAAGTTTCACATAAAAAAAATATGAGATGTAAACTATAACATTTTTGACAAGGATCATATACATTGCTTTGTCATTTCTAGTCATTATAACATTTATAGTGAATACTCTTGGAAACATATATCATAAAATAAACAAATAGCATACTCGAAATCATAAATATATACTTGCATAAAAATCTTTAAGTCACAAAAATCTCTCTTATTTTTCCTTGTATCCTTATAGTGGGAAAATCCACAAGTACTCACTTAGGGAGACTTAACAACGACTACTCTCAAAACAATTTTCCTTGAAAATACCGCCTCCTTCTCTTTTGCTATGTAGCTCCTCAATGGTTGAGGTAGTCACTCTTAAGCCAGGATATAGACAAGATCTCTCATTTTTTATGAAGAAATTCCCTGAGACCGTGTTAAGTCAAGTTGGTATGAGTACATATTGGTTGCATCTTGACGTTGCTCCATCATTATTTGTTCGCGGTACAGGTTTGTTTCCACCAGATATTTTTTGTGTTCTTGCTTCTTTTTTTATTAATATTATGTGTATTGACCCAATACTTGATACGTGTAGATGGAAATCGATTGCCTTTCCTTTTATCTAATTTTGTTGTGGGTAAAATTGCTTCATGGGATCTAGGGTCGAAGGATATTGACCTTCCCATTCTTGATGGTAGCTTTACTTATAGTGGTAGTAATGGAAGTAGTTATCATGTCGACGAAGAGGAGAGTAACGAATCTTTAATTAGGGTTCATGATTCTTATGATAACACAAATGATGGTCATATTTCACATGTTATTATTAGGCATGTGACTAATGTTTATGGTGATGGTGAGTATAGGGGAGGTAACCAACCCTTAATCTAGCATAAGAGAGATAAAGATTATGCAGCCTCTGTTGCTCTAGCAGTTGTTCTATTAGGCGGAGAAGGTAGTAGTAGTAGGGATCTCAAGAGGTCTCGTTCCTTGGGACCCAATGTTTTTTTTGTGATTTTGCTAGTATTCTTGGTGTTATCTGGCCCTCGTTATATGTATCTCAACTAAATATGAACGATCCACCTTATGATGTCGATGATTTGCACCCAGTCGGTCTTGTATATGTTCCTTCTTGGGAAAATATAGGCAGGGTCAGAGCTTGATGGAGCCAAAGGTTTCGATTTCTTTCTTGGAGAATTTGGCTTCTCTAGGGACTTGTGTAAGTGTCAGTCGGGGTAATAAGGAGCATGTTCGTGATTTGTATAAGAATAAGTTTGTGGGGAATATGGTTCTGGGCCAAGAGATCATTTCGTGGCTTGATGAGAATGATTCATTGAACTTAGTAAGTCATAACATGTATAATGAGCTTAAGAAAATATCAGATTCGCATAAGTCATTTGTGGTGTTGTCTAGAGGGGTTGCTCCTTACGTGCAATTATTTTGTGATTAACATGTGGAGCTTGTGGAAAAAGTTGTTGAGTTAGAAAAAGTTATGTCGAGTGTGGGGGTGGTGCCTCGAGATGAAGTGGAAAGGTGAGAGAGATGAACTGGATGTTGTGAAAAACGAACAGGGTATATTGATGTTGTTGAGGAGGTTTCGACATTAAAGGCAACAATGGCATCTCTTGAGTTGGAAAAGACCGGGTTGTTGGATAAGGTAGATATGTTAGAGTACAATGTTCAGAAGCTGAAAAGTGACCTGAATGAGTCTTCCCTACGGAATACCGATTTGAAAGAAAGTGTGGTGGGGTTAGAGAGTTAGTTGAGCAAAGTGATTGGGGGTGTGACTTAGGTATTGCCACATGGGGTTGAGAAGTTAGTTGACAAACTTGTCACTGATTCATCGTTTTTTTAAGTTAACCATGATCTACAATCCATTTGTGTGAATTTGGTCAGGAGGGCAGGGTATGAGATGATGAACACTGAGTTTAAGATAGGCCTTCATGAAACTGGTCTTCCATTATAGGAACCCTCTCGTGTGCAGAAGATGGAAGAGGCATTTTTAGATTTGTTTTGTGATGATTATTTATCTGAGTTTGGTTTTCCCTTGACAAGTGTTCAGTAGTTGCGTGCATTGGTTGATTGTGATGGTGGTAATGTTCCTTCTACAAGCGGTCATGGTGGGCACAATGAGTCTTGAAAGGTATGGTGTAGGATAAGGTCGGTTGCATGGTTGTGAGTATTTGTTAAATAACAAATATTAGTTTGTGGGTTTGTTGAATTTGGACAAGTTATTCTCCCCCTTTTTCCTTAATATATTCTTGGTGTTTAGTTGTTTTTGCTTTGGTATTTGTTCTGATACTCTGGATGATGGTATTGATGTAGCCAGGGTGTATTACGATATATATTGCTTAATTTTTTAGTATGAAACACCAATTTTGTTGTGTTTTGATCTTAAAAGTAATGTCTTGTTTTGCATGCGCAATCCTTTCATGCCCCCTGCCCCCTCTTATTTGTCTTATGAATTGTTATAATCGTTTGGTTGGCATTTTCTTCGTTCACCTACTGGCGTGCTTTCAATTTGCTTGTATCTTTACTTCGAGTCTTTAAGATTGTTGTGAAAATGCATACCATCTTTTAAGGAAATATTGTTTGTATAGGAATGTCTTTTTTGGCTAAGAAAGTAGTGTGTATCAGGGTTTTGAAACGTTGACGTGTATGAGATTGTATTTTGCTGAATGAATCGCAAAATTTGGAAATGGCCAAGGCTATTCAAAGGCCAAATACGTAGTTTTAACCTTTTCCCTGTCATGCTCTTGTGTTAATTGTCCGATCTATAGAATTTTCATAAAAGTACTCTCAGGCTAAGCTTTTAGGTGGGGTTGAAGTGTTAAATCTTCAACTTTTACTATAATGTAGTCATCTAATCGAGCTACAAAATAAAAATAGAATAAAGTTATCCTTGGGTTAAGCAGGTAGCTGTGGTTAAAGTGTTAAACTTGAACTTTGTTAGATTGTAGTCGGATAACTGAGCAACAAAATATAAATAGAATAAAGATATTCTTGGGCTAAGTTGGTAGCCTGGGTCGAAATGTTGAACTTGACATTTGTTACATTGTAGTTGGCTGTCCGGACTACAATATATAAATAGAATAAAGATATTTTTGGGCTAAGCAAGTAGTCGGGTTCGAAGTGTCGAACTTGACCTTTATTAGATTGTAGTCGGATGATCGAGCTACAAAATACAAACAAAATAAAGATATTCTTGGGCTAAGCAGGTAGTCGTGATCGAAGTGTTGAACTTGACCTTTGTTAGATTGTAGTCGGCTGACCGAGCTACAAAATATAAATAAAATAAAGATATTAATGGGCTAAGTAGGTAGTCGGGGTCGAAGTGTTGAACTTGACCTTTGTTAGATTATAGTCTGCTGACCTAGCTACAAGATATAAACATAATAAAGATATTCTTGGGCTAAGTAAGTAGTCGAGGTCGAAGTGTTGAACTTGATCTTTGTTAGATTGTAGTCAATTGACTGCGCTACAAAATATAAATAGAATAAATATACTCTTGGGCTAAGCAGGTAGTCGGGGTCTAAGTTTTGAGCTTGCCCTTTGTTAGATTGTAATCAACTAACCAGGCTACAGGCATGTCACAGGTCGCTTGTACTACAATCATGCTTTTAGTAGGTTGTTGCCACTTAATAGGCACGTCGACTGTGCACCTTTTTACTTACACTCATGGCCTATCTTGAGCATTATCATTTCCCGACGCATTGCATTTGCTTTCTTGGCTCTACACATTGGCATCCCAGTTGGTGATCGTTTCTTCCCTTTGTCCATTTTCGAGGATTGCACATGTTCTATTTAAGTTATATATGTCTAACAGTCATTTCTTTGCTTTGCGTTTTTGTCGGTTTTCCTCGGTGCTCATCGTCCTATCCTGCTCGGATTATTTTTTCCTCTCTTTTACCTCATATGGCCCGTTTTTCTTTTTTATAACGGCTTCTCATGCGAGTTTTTGTTTCGTCCTGGATTTTTCCAACTTCGTCATTTTGCCTTTCTCGTGCTTGTTTTGTATTCGCCGGCACGATGCTTATTGTTCACTTATGGTTCTTAACAGTTACTGATGTGCCACTTTCTGTAATTTCCCACGATGCCTTAGTCACAAGAAGTTGTTACACTTGTTTAAGGCATACTTTGTCTTCTGTTTATACATCTAATATCCCTTGACTGTCGTGTGGTATTTGTGGGGGTGGTGCTCATTCTGACCCCTTGCTCCATTCTTTGGGAATTTGTTTCGATTTAAAGCCAACTTGGGATGTTGTCAAGGTTATCTTCATTGTCACACCTCTTACGTTGTTCTGCTCTTCTTTTGGTGTATATTTCCCCGACACCTGACTTTATCTTAAATTTGATAGCTCCATGAATCGTACGCGTTTATGCGATGACCTTAAACTTATGCATCGTCATGTGCCCAAAGATGATGTCTTACGGGGAAGGTGCATTAATTATAACAAAGTGTATTAACTGCATGCTATTCCTTCCATGAGGATAATCGATAAGGGTCAGTGGTATGGTGATTATCCCTTCCGGCCATACGTTGTGGATGACAATGCTGACCACACGACTTTCTGGTGGACTTGCTCTTGCTCGTACATGCCCGGGTAGCTGTTTAAAGAAGTGTATATACATGAAATCCGTAGAGCTTCCGTTGTCTACGTAGATATCACTTGCATGGATTTTCACCATAAGGCCGTTGATGACAATCGACTCATCTCCCCTATGATTGTCATGGATGTAATCCCATTCGTCGAATGTGAAGGTGCAGTCCTCCTACTTAGTATTTGGCGCTTGACGGTCATAGTATTATAGCATAAATTTTCGTTCTTCCTTTCATTTTGAACTTTTGGTTCTACTGGTGTATTGCTTTCGAAGTGTTTAAATAAGAGTCCTTTAATCAGGACGGTAACCTAACCAGATTACGTCTTGTTTTCCAACTTCCGTCGTAACATAGTGCATTTGATGGTATTGTGTCCCATAGATTCGTGGAATTCACAATATCGCCCTTGATCCTTCTATTTCATCTTCTCTTCACTTTTGCTTGTTGTGTTCTTTTTGCTTTCGCTTACTGCGACAACTTCATTTCGAGCGCTATGTCGATGTGGAAATGCATTATGATTTTTCTGAGGGGGACGATGAAAGCGAGCTTGTCTCATGAACTAGATTTTTATGTGTTCCAGTGTGTTTCTTCTGGCGTATGGTGCTTAGGATCCTCTTTCTCTGTGACTAGTTTTTATCTTCTCAGATGCTGCTTCTTCTTGCTTCATTTACGGTGGACCCTTTCCATCATTTCTTTCCTTGAGGATGGTTGTTTCCTTACTAGTTTTTTGAACAAAGCTCCTGGTTTCAAGTAATATGTAAAAGCAGTGATTACCATGTTGTCTGATTTCTTAGGGGTGTTAAGTGTGGCTTTGTCGAATCTTTTAACGAAGGCACTAATAGACTCATCTTTTGTCTACATCCCAAGATAGCTTGCGCATCTGCCATGTGTCTTCTTTGTTTTATGAAATGGCCAATGAATTATACGCGTAATTGATTGAAATCGTGTTGCTTTATGGCAGTAAGCTTTTGTACCATAGTCGTGTTGCTCCCAAAAGGGTAGTTGGGAAGAAAATACACCATAATTTTTCATCAAGGTAATAGGCATCCATCGTCCATTTATATTTCTCTATATGGTCATCTGGGTTCCCGGTCCCATCATACTTTGTGATCTCTAGTATGTTGGCTCCAGCTGGTAATTGATATTCCCTGATGCTTCTTTCTAGTAGTGAATTATCTTATCGTAAAACTCGTATGATATCGGATTCCATTTTTCATGTGCCTCTCAATCTGCGTGTTTGGTGGTTGTTGGGATGTTGTTTGTCCCTCTAAGGCGGGTTGTGAGGTGTACGAGTGTTGGTATTAGGGTAGCCAATAGGCTTGATAATGTGTGAATAGGAAAGGTGGTGGTAATGGTGTCTATGATTGTATGTTGTGGTTGGCCATCAGGCTTCCAGCTAAGTGTTGTTATAGCAAAGGTGGTAGTCATTGCGTTGTCGATTCCTTATTTGTCGTTGTAAGTTTGGTTAGTTCTCTGGGTGTGCTTGCTCCTGCCGTACTCGAGCCACTAACCGTTTACATTGTAAATGATTATCCTTCTTGTCTTTCTTTGCTTGTCCTGCCACCTGTTCACTTATTTCTGCCTCAGGGAGTGTGTTTTGCTAAGGTGAAGGTGTGATGTGTACCTATGGTTCAGTGACCTTGGTTGTTAACGTGGTTGATGTGAAGGAAGGGATTAAATTTATTGGGCAAAATGGTGTCTGTTTTTCTGCCGGGATGCTTGTATTTTTTTCTTGCATGGTTATATACGGATGGAGCCAATGTTGCTACGTAGCTCCTTGGATGCTTATAGTAGTCCCTCTTAGAGCCTTTTCCAATGAGCAGTCCAAGTAGCATGTTGCATGGTGTATGACAAGTATAGGTTAGAAATTCATACCGAGGGCGAACCCCCGACATAGCTCTTCGATACCTAAGTTAGAAAGCATATATGATGCTTTAAGTGTATATGAATTGCTTAGAATGTTGTTGTCTTACCGTTTCAGCTGTCGCTCGTTCTTATAGCAAAGGTTTGGACCAACTTTTGGCTTCTTCTTTTGGATTTTGCATTAATCTTCCGGTTATGATGGTGAGCCTCATTTTCTATTAACATAGACATGTTTTTCCCGTGTTTCCTAGAGATGTTTTATAGGGTATGTACGATGATAGGGTGATTCTTGCTTTAGTGCTTGGAGTTCAGGTAGATGCTCGTGCTCTGGGCATGCAGTTCGGCTTGCTTGATTGGCCCGAATTTATGTGGACTCTTGGCCCTACCCTAATATTCTCAAAACCACTTCCATCAATTTATGTCTCAATATTTATAATAACAACTTACTTTATTTTTATTGTTTTACTTTATTATAGCTAAGATGAATCAAATATTGTAAAAAT